CAATGAGGATATTAATCTCTATGTTAATGAAAATTTGAGGAAATCAATACTGTCATGCTGAGTTTCTTGGAATAAGTGGAAACACTTTAGCATACTTTAACTCTGATATCAGATATCAGCACACTTATCTGGTACAATAAAACTAACCCAGGTTGATTTATCCCAAACAATCATGCCATCATTGTGTAAATGCTGGAGTAATTTGAGAAATACAAGACTGATTTCTTGACTGAACTAATCAAGCCCTGACCTCAAGCACACCTTAAAGATGGTAATGCCTTTTGCGGTGGTACGTAGTTTAAAAACAGTGTTGTTCACCAGAGAGCTCTGAAATGTCTCACTCAGTACATTTCTTTACAGTACAAATCCAGGGCTGAGTTTCAGTTCAGATAGACAGAAACATATATATTAGAAAGCCTGCCTTACAAACTGGAGGTGAGACATTTAGGAGCCATGGATGGTTTAATTAAAGAATACATTATGGGAAATGCTTTGTTTGATTTAGGAACATGTCCCATGTTAGGGACTAAGAAGAATATCTTGATTCAGATTTGGCCATTCTTTTTTAATCAGTCGCCCAAGTACAAAACTCTCTGTGATGGCTTCAGATTAAAGGGCTTTACTCTCAAAAAATGTATACAAAATTTGTCTAAAAAAATTCATCAGGCTATAATAAACCTTCAAATTGAGCATATATCAATTTATTCCAATCCTTACATATGATCATTCCTTCAAACATTCGGAAACAAATGTGATCAGATCTCATCCAGGTGTAAATGTTATCTATAAAACTGAACCACTTTATTAACAAATAAAATACACCAACATGTTGAAAGGTCACTTCAACCTATCCTCAGCTAATTTGCTGTGTTACAGCTAATTTGCAAATGTTACCATGCTAACATGCTAAGCTAAGATGTTTAACATGGTAGACATTATACCTGCTAATCTTCTGCATGTTAGCATTGTCATTGTGATTATATTAGCATGCGAATGTTAGCATTTAGCTTAAAGCACAGCCTCAGCAGATACAGCCTCACTTTTAAACTTGTTAAATTTCACTTGACTGAAGAGAAAAACATACTTGACCCAGAACGTGGAGAGACCTTGGTTTGTCTGTCTGTCTGTCTGTCTGTCTGTCTGTCTGTCTGTTTCCCTGTTAAAAGCAGCCTCTTGTTCCTATGGGTAGACTGGCTAAAACACCTGGGCTCTGAGAACCAATTATCTTTCAATCAATTATCAATCATCAATTATCTATTAAGTTTGAAGTTTGAGTGTTTACATGACAGATTGTGTTTATTTCTAATTGTGCTCAGCTCCAGATGATTTACCCAGCTGAGTTGCTCTGAGCTTCCCAAAAATGGTTCGGCCTGAATCATCGAGTCTCTCTTTGTGTCTCTCTCGTGAGCTAAAATGTAGCACCACTGATGTGCTTTTGAGAATCTCAGAGCAGGTAGTCCAGTGGCTGTACAAGTGCAAAAATTTTATTGGATGTCCTCAGACCAAGGGCTTTGTGTACATCCTCTGGACTACTGCACCTTCCTTCCCCATACACAGTTCATGTCGGTGCACCAGAGCGTCACCTCTAGGTGTTTATGGGATATTGTAGCAACTGATAGCTGATTTTCGTAACCCATATTCCTATTTTGTCCTGTCTCTGTTCATCTGTTTGTTCCTCCGTCCATTTGTCTGTCTGTCTGTCTGTCTGTCTGTCTGTCTGTCTGTCTGTCTGTCTGTCTGTCTGTCTGTCTGTCTGTCTTTTTCCACTTCCTCCTTTGGTCTAAAATATTTTACTTGGTTTGGGCTGGTTTTGTTTGGAATTACCTTTTTTCAACTTTGTTTCATTTACAAATGCTTGTAACTGTAACAAATTGTTTATATTTGCTATTTCTGATGTGCAATGCTGTCATAATATAACACACACTGATATATCATGACATAATTTTCTGTCATGGCATTTCCATCCCATAACACATTCTTTAAACTACAACTTTTTACCACAACATGGAAACTTTTATTTGCTCATAACTGCTGTGAATGACCCTTCATAACCCTGCTCTGACCTTTTGACCTGTGCATGTCGTCTTTATGTAGCCACAGGTTATGAGAAGTCACGCAGCCTCAATAACATCTCCGGGATGACAGGCACCCCGCTGCGCCTCACACCCATCACCAACTCCACCTTCGAGCCCTTCGAGCCGTCTGGCCTCAGGCGATGCCACTCCCCCATCCCCTCAATCTTGTAGCATAGCTGAAAGAGCAAACACAGAAAACACAATGTCAAGAACAACAGCAACAATAATATATTATAATATGATTGTGATTGTGTCCATTTATATATATCTCTCTCTCTCTATATATATATGTATGGACAGCTTCTCTTTCATCACATTACTCATATTTTCTTCCTGATAGAAACTACATTGAGTTAGACTTCTTCTCGCCACTAGATGGCCCTATTTTGAAATGACAGAATAGTTAAACTTTAATGATTAAGCTGAGGTAGATGCTTAAGCAAATGTATTTGAAAAAACACAAACACACACTAACACACCTGCCTTACTAACAGGGATCTAGGTTAGTTTAGACTGATATGATAGTTGAGTTAGTTTACCTCTAGCTTTCCCTGTGCTACTTCTTGCCTGTATCTTGACTGCACTTGCACTTCAATGCTTTAAAATTGATATGTACAAGTAGCTATGAATTAGACTTTTTCTCATATTAAGACTCAGAATGCACACATTCACACAAGTAGACGCTAACATATTACTCCAGCATGCATGTTTCTACTCATGAGAATCTCCAGAATAAGAACATACACTATGCCTATAGATTGAAAAAACAACATTTTAATACACTTAAAATTCAAACGCATATCTCTGAAAAGGACATACCCCAAAAAGCCATGCAGACTATAAATGTTCAGATTTTTGTGTTACATTTAGATGAAATACAAGCTTTCTTACCAATATACAAACATCAACACACAGAGATGCATACTTTGTTCTCAGAGTATCCCTTTAGTATGGGAAAAGAGGGGAGAGGGGCTTCCGTTAGATTTTACATCACCTCCATAAGCAGCTACCTCCTCCTCTTCCTCCTATCCTCCTCAGGCTTCCCACTATACTCATACCCTACAACACTCACTGGATGTACTGCAGGAGGACTTTAAGAATTAAATTTTTTATATAGTGGACAGCAAGGAACAGGTATTAAGACACTTGGATGTCTCTGTCAGGGTGAGATGCAGGTCACTGGAAAGTGGTTCCAAACCTGGGGCTCCTGAGTTGCAAGATAATCCTGAAGCAGGTGTGAGTAAAATCATATCAAATTAGTTACAACAAATATCTGATTTTATTTTTTTTAAACTTTGCTTTTTGCTTATGAATTACTGGACAATTTTACCTCACCACACCACAAATATAGTCAACAGAGAAGTGGTAAGATGTACTGTGACTTCTCACATCGAGCCTTTGTTTACATTAACTACAGATAGATCAGGCTAATATTTAATTTGATCATATTCTAGTGTTTTATGATCTTTTCCTGTGATAATTTTCTGTTGCTAATGTTATCTATATTTATATGGACTTTGAAGTTTCCATTTAAATGTAGAGCAAAACTTACCAAATATCCAGAAAATGTGCAAAAGACAATGTGAATTGATACTGTCAATGAATATCAGAAGTTGTGTGCATCACTGGAAGCTCGAGTGATGTGCTTCATGTAAGTCATGATGAAGCCTGTTTTTCCATAACACTGGTGCGTGAAACATATTTCATAAAATAATAAGACAAAAGTAGCTATAGGAACATTAAAAAAACTTTAGGTGAACACACATAATGAACTTTGACCGTTAGCCTCACCAAGAATTCCAGTGTAGATGTTGTCATGGAAACTGGAGTAGTAGGATCTGATCTGATCTACCGCACCATCTCTCCTCACCTCCTGCCCTGTCCTGCACTCTCACCTGGGCTCTCAGCAAAAGGCTGAGCTGCAAAGCTAAAAGAAAGGGATGATAACTCCGTGTTTCTTTATTGTGCTCTCATCTACTAGCTATGGTTTAATAGATCTGTACAAGGAAGCTTATTTTCTGTCTTTTCGTAAGTGAGATGGGAAGATTGATGACACTGTCATGTCTTTGTGAAGTACAAAGTTGGAGTCAGGCTGTTTTTAGCCTCACTGAGCATGAAGCCACGAAGCAGGGGAAACAGCAAGCCCTGCTCTGTCCAAAATAAATATGTAAAGTGGACTTTTTAACATGGGGTTTGTTGTTTTTCTAACTGGTGAACAAACCGAAATCTAAATATACAGGACAATCTGAGGTTTTAGGCAGTGTTATGGGCTAAAAATATTTCTTGACAAGCAACAACCAGCCAATGGCTGGAATCAACAAACATGCTCATTGGTCTCATTACCTGACAAAGTGCTCACTGTGCTGGGCAGATGCATAAACTTGTCGAGACATAGGGCCTGGCTCCAATGCGTAAGTCACTTTAAACCACAAAGTGTCTTATTTACTTGTTTCTATTTGTGTATAGATTAAACAAAAGTATATAAACTAGACTAACCATATTCCTGAATCCAGCTCTGTACTTGACACACCAACATGAGGGCGATATTCAGCTTCTCACATCATTCCTGGAAAGACAGCAAATAAGCATATTTCCAAAAAAAACTCTTCCTTTAAGATGGAGTAACTGACTTTTTCTTCATCTGGAAAAGTTTTAGAGATTGCAGCTCAGCCTGAAAGTGAGAAGAGTGTTTTCCTCAGGTCTGAGTTCATTCTGCCACCATCACCACCACCACCGCTGCCAACAGCATTACTACTTGCACTGATACCAGTGTGACTCAGCAGCCAGTGGCAATATTTTTAGTTTTCTCCCTTTTTGGCTTCTCTTTCTTTCCCTGTTTTTGCCCTTCCTGAAACCTCCACCCCCACCCCCAACCCCAACCTCACCCACTCCCTCGTCCATCTCCTCTTTGTTTTCGGTGGTCAGTAGGAGGCACTGTGAACGGCTACTGGAGCGACAGCCCTTGGTAAAAGAGAAGCAGATGACAAACGCCACATGAGAAGAAGAGAGAGAACATGACATCAGAGACAGCATACAAACAGAAATATGCAATGTAGATAAATAAGATGGACAGGTGGTTTTATCTGTATGTTCAGATATGTTGTATCTGTGGCACACATGTTGTGTGCACATGGATGCTCATGTTTTATGTTTCTGTGTGTGTGTGTGTGGCCAGAATTCCATCTACCTCTGTACTAAGATGCACAAATGTCAACTAGGAAAAACACATTGAAGAAAAAAAAGAAGAAACAGTTATTCCTTTGGTATTATTACTTTAGTTTTGGTAGTTATTATTAACAGTCTAGATGATATCTTTCTGTCAAAGATTGTACTTTTGTTTTAATTGATATCATTTCAATTTAAACCTTCTGTTTTGTTTTAAAAAGGATTTTTCTGATGTTGCAGAAATTTATTTGATTTCAGAACTACAATGTCAGACTTTGTCCTTGTTGAAGACAGTAATTATGTGTCTGTTGGTTAAGTTTTAGGTCTGTCCTCACATCTCACTCTCACCTTCTTTCTCTCCCACCGATTACTATCAGAGAGCTTTCAGCAACATGAGACTGTCCTTGGACAAGATCCACTTAAACATTCAGAGAACATTTATGAAGTATAAAGTATTGTTTGTCTGTTGGATCTTGTCAAAGAATATGGTTCATGAAAATGATGATGGATAATGGATTCCTTATTCAGAGTTAGTTTCTGTGCATTTATATTACTTTTACACTCATACACTTATTAATTATTTGCCAAGAGTGAATTCAAAAATGTCAAAATCAATTTGAATTTGATTATCTAACACTAAAATACTACACCAACATCTATAAGGTTCCCAAATCAAAATGTTCTATCTCATTTGTTTGACACATACATGAACAGAAATAAAAAAATAACCAATGTCACAGTGACAAGTCTTCAGGAAGTCACAGCGCCTGGCTGCTTGTCACCTACTAATTTTACTTTTGTGTGATTAAACAAAAGAGATACAACTTGTTAATTAGTGAGCTTCAGTTTTGGACATCTTGGGCCTAGGTTATGTTTCCCCGGCTTCCAGTCTTTATGCTAAGCTAAGACAATTTATTGCCCCCTGGCTCTAGCTCTTACTGCACAGAAATTAAATGTATTCCTAATTTTCAGTAAGAAAGCGAATAAGAGTGTTTCCAAAAATTTCAACCTATTCCATTAATCATATGTGACCCTGTTTCCTGTTTAGCCTCATGCTCCAACTGGGCATCAATTTCCTTTTTTCCTCAGAAGTGCAAAGTGCAAGATATTTTGAGGTTTTAATCTACTGGAAATTCAGGATTAGATTCAGTTGAAAAATTATTTTAACCATCAATCCTATTAGACACCAGGCACACACACGCTTTTGTTTCTATATCCCTGTGGGGACAACTCACTGACATAATGGATTCCCCTAGCCCCTTATCCTAACCTCACAACTAAATGCCTGATCAAATGAACCTAAACCAAATTCTAACCCCCAAAAAGAAGTCTGGACCTGTGAGTCCCCACAGGTTAGTTGTGTATTCAGGTTGAGAGTCCCCTCTGGAATATATAAACAAGCCCACACGTGCACACACAGATGTTCACACATGCTCCAGTCTCTGCTGAATCTGTCAATTGTTTCTCACCATTTCATCCTCTCCTTATCCTCCTCTACCTTTCCAGTGTCCATATGTTTTGAGTGTGTCTAAGGCCACTGCTGATTGGTAGTTTTTGTCATGATGATGTACATATGTAAAGTTTGCGTTGTAAATAATTCTGCATGGGTTTCCAACGCAAGCAGTGAGGATACTGATATGAATAATAATTTGAGGAGGTCTGACAAAATTTTAGTCTCAAGTTTAATGAATGTGTATATAACATTTAGATTACTAAGAGTGTGTATGAATTAAGAGTGTGTTTAGAAGCATACATATGCACTAACAACGCATGCAGGAAAAAAAATTTTCACCTCTTTGGATGCAGGAGGTGGGACGGGCTGACATTATGCATGCCAAAATGCTATGATGCTATTGGTCACAAAAGACCATGTTAGGTACTGTAATGGGGCTGGGTGGGGGTGGGAAAGTTTATTTTTGCAGGATGGGGAAGGGTTACGTTTCTGATAGGTCTTGTATAGCTGCTTTCTTATCAATCTTGAGAGACTTACGATAAGAGAAACATATTAACACTTGTAGCTTATGATATTTTTCTTTTCTTTTTTTTTGCTTCTCTTTTCACAGAGAACTGTTCTGAAAGCCCTGCGCTTATCAGATATATGCAAAAAGAAGCAGTAACTGTGAACTAATGCTAAGAAATGAAAAAAAACAAATCCAGTTTCTTCCATCCATTGTCTTGATTCCTCCTCTGCCAGAGGAGAGACCCTTTGCCTCCCAAGAGATCCCCTATCATCAATTCCATTCATCTGCTCCTTCATTGTCTGTCACGTTTCCTGTCCGTCTGTCCTGTCCTGTACTTTACAATTGCATTTAAACCACAATGAGTTCAAAGGATACTTCTGCAATGCGAGAATCCAACCCATTCAGTGCAACCTCTTACAAACTCTTTTCAACGTTACCACCAAAAATGAATATCAGACGAGCCTGATTATAAGACATCTTGTTTTTTTATTTATTTATTTTTTTTCTGAACTTTCTGAAGACTAATCCTGGAACATTTCTCCATGATACTGTTGGACCAAGGACAAGAGCGTCATTATCCTTGAAATCTTTTCTACCAATAACCACTCATCTATCAGTCCCACACACACTGACATTCTCACATTCTTCTGTGTTTTTGAGCTCCTCATGACTGCTTGACAGTTTTTCAGTTTTCTGCAGGAAAGACGTTGGGAGTCCCTTTCAACCAGTTTTTACTCATCATGAATTTATCTCTTATGTGGCAGTAAATGCACCACCTTTAAAAGGTGTAAGAGAATCCCTAGCCCAGCAACATTAACACTACAAACAACCGATAATGCAACCTCTGGGAAAGAACTCTCTTCATACAAAAACCATATCTGATGTTGGGAATATGTAATGTATTATTAATTAGTGAATTAATTAGTGAGTATATAGTGAGTATGACCCCTATTTTTCCCAACATAATTTCCATTAAAAAATGCTGTCTTATACTTAGTAGGATTAGGTGGTGTTGTTGGAGAAAGTAAAAGGTCCAATGAAGTTGTAGAATTAATTTCTTAATGTGATGTTATCCCTATAAAAAATGTGTAATCCAATGGACTATAACTAGTTATGCAGTGAAAGGCAAAAACATGGATGGGCAAAAAGGCAAGCTCTTTGAAAACTTTCTGAGGATTTTATTTAGTGGTTGGTCTTTTTAACTTCCACCCACTTGTATAGGATGATATCACCACATCAGACTTTCATGCAGGAGACCAGAGCTCATGTCCTGTCACACACCTGCAATTAGCATTCACCAGTCAGTCTTTCCCTGACCTCACCGATACTGTAGTTGCCATGCAGTGATATTGAAAGCCAGAGTTTTTGAAATATTGACATTGAATGCAAAAAACTAAGATTGAGCCCAGGATTTTGCTGAATGGTCTGATATCAACATTGTGTCCAGTGATGGGGGTTTTTGTGGATAATAAGAAGAAGTTGCACTGAATTACCAGTGAGGAACCACTGCAGAGGTACCCTTCCAGGTCTGAATTACTGCTGGTTCTTACACGATGCGCTTGTTGCCAACATTTCTCTCCTTTTACATCCATTCACAACTCAGGTATCTCTTTCTAAATCCCAACTTATGTGTCCCAGTGTTCATGTCCAACCATTGTTCCTCAAAGATGTCCTTTATGTATGAAACACGGAGAGACTAGAAAAAAAGATGAGCTTTCCTTTCTGTTGTGTGCCTGCCATGTGCTCCGTTTTTGTGCTATTGTCCCTCCTTCAAAAGTGCTATTTTGCTTTCCTTGTCCAGATCTGCTTCCTGTCTTCACTGTGTGTCATCCCCTGCATCTTTCCACCCTTTCCTAATAACTGTATCCCTCTTTCTGTGAGACTTACCCCCCCAACACACCATCCATTCCCCCATCCTCACTCTTGCACAGCAAGCAAAACCAAAAGGAACTGAGTGAAATTCAAGCACCTTTGCACCTGACAAAAAAAAAAAAAAAAAAACTCCAACACTGGATTTCAGCATGGATGAAAACAGGAATGGACATAAAATGACTGAAAAAGACTGGAGTGATAGATATGTTGTAGATGGGCAGGAGGGGGAAAATGTGCAATAAAATGATGTGTTCTGAGTGGACTCTCAGCCATGCAGCATCAGAGGGAGGAGATGGAGGATGAAAAGGTTGGGCAAGACAGAAAAGTGGTGATGATGAGGAGGAGGAAGAAAGACAGAAGCAAAATCGCTTCTTCATGTAAGAATGTGTATCTCACTGTTGTTCCTGTGCACTGTTTGCTTCTGGTGTTGTCTTTTCTCATCTGTGTGTGGTTAGTGTGGCATTTTTGTTTTATGTTTTGTGTCTTCATGTTGTGCACTGCACTCGATTTCTTTTCCTTTTTCTTTCATGAAGTTTGTGTGCACCACACCTGGGTCAAACAGCCTTCACACTATCTACAGTATCCCACACAGGTGCAGGAGGATTGTAGTTTGTCTTTTGGGCAAACTCAGACTGCACCAGAATCAAATTAATTAGAGATGACCTGACCTGATACAGCAAACCCTGCTTTGGCTAACAGTTAAAGTGGGATGAAACAAAAAGCTAAGAACCATTATTTGGCCAAGGTCTGGTCTGTACATGTGCAGGACATACCAACTGAGCTACTCCACTCTTAGCTCTTGGTCTGGATTTCAGCCCAGTCCTGGTTGGCTGCAGTCCTCTGGTTTGAACGTTGACCTCTAACAATATTTTTGATTTCACTCTCTTTGACCTCGATGTCTCTTGGTCTCATTGTTATTCATAAACCAACTACCATTTTTTTTATATCAGAGGACTGAGCAGCTCCCCGGGGACTTCTGCAGTCTGTGTGTGTGTGT